ACGATCGACTGAGTTATGTTCATAACTCAGCTTATTTCTCATAAGTCAGCTAGGTTAGTTAAGTCAGCCGCTACGCACCTATATCTCGGCCGTAACGTAGTTCGTATCCTATTGCGGCTGAGTTTTATGCCGCATTCTTACGTGGACCCAAACTTTTTGCTTACGTGGCATAAAAAAGTAATGGCATTCTTGTAAATATATTTTTTCTCACAACATGAAAAAAGGGCACGCTGGGTATTAAAAAAAAGGTAGTAATAAAAAAAAGTTTTGTATGGTTGTGATAATAATTAATAAAATTTATATTAGTTGAGTTAACTTCCCTTATCAAATTTCAGAAATATCTAAACAAATCATATATTTATGAAACCAAAAATAACAAATCGGAACTGAACCAAACCGATCCTAAATTATCAAAATATTTTTTTATCCAGAATATTTCAACTTATTTGTATTACTCGATATTTTATCCTACTAGAACAAAATTGGACCGATTTTTGGATATTAGTCGGTTCTTAGGCTTGTTATCTGAATCTAAACCGAAATAATTAAAAAATTGAATCAACCGACTGATTTGAGTGACAGAGAAACACCTATTCGATAAAGAAAGAAACAATTCAAATAAATCTATATCGAATTCTCTATCAACAACCAACCAAACCATCCAAACTGAAAACTAAAATGTCCTCGGAAGACCCGGTCCCGAGAATGTGTAAAACAATATGGGCCGGAAGTGAAAAAAATTTATGGACTTATAGAAAATAAAAACAAAATAATGGGAGGTGTAACAACTCGAACTTGTTATCTTTTAATTGATAATTTAAGTTTTAACCAACTGAAATGGTGAAAATATTGAAAATTATTAGCCAAAATTTTATATAATGCTCGCACGGCCGACCGGAAACATATACTTTCATTGCTTCTATCCAGGGCCGCTACTGGCCCTCGGCTATGTCTGACATTGCTCTTGTAGAAAAGTTCTCGATTTCAGTTTGTTTATGCAATTCTAAATCCGTCAACACTAATTTATTAGATTTTATCGAAAAGATTGTATATCAAATCATACATTATTTACAAAATATATTTATCAACCTCAGAGGTAAACTAAACAAATCTAATTAACATTATTCTTAAAATTATGATTCATTTCAAAAGAACCGACAAACACAATATACCCAAATATGAATAATCAAACCGATAAAATAGAACAATCAAATAATCCAATTATTATGATTTAGTTATTTTATACGTGCATGAATTTTCAAAGTATTACAAGTTATTTACTAATAAAATTCTGATTTTGTATTTATGTTCTCAATTTCTCAATATAACATATAAGAAACTTATAAAAAATTAAAAAAAAATATATTTACAAATATAAGAGATAAACTGAACTACTTGAAATTAAGAATTTTTTTGAACCTAAATTAAAAATCATTGTGTTACGAAAGAATATATATTCAACTCATTATCACCAAAATATATACTTGAATTGATCCAAAATACTATAAACAAAATCACTTACCTAATTAAAATGAGAACATAATAACTTCTAATACATTTTCATTTATTTATCATACATGGTAATCACAAAATGTTTTAAATTTTATAAGGAAACGAAAAAATATTACAAATTATTATAATTATTTTATAAATGTTTATTCTCCTGCATTGCACAAGTACGGAAGGATAGCTTAAGCAAAAAACAAAAAAAAAAGGGCGTCTCGCTTATTTCTTCTCTCATATTTTTCAAAAGAAAAAAAAAATAACGCTTGATTTCGTCTCTAATCGAATGCGAAGATAATAATCATTCGTTATCTTTCCTAGAAAAAATCAGATTTTTTATTTTGAAGATACTGAAGTCAGTTTTGTTGTAGCAGTCTTAATCGAATCCGAAGACTCTATTTTCATTTCTTCTTCTTCTCTCCGCGACCTGATCTGAAGCTTTGTCAGAAAAGTGTCAGAGTATCTTCGACGACGATGTTGGTCAATGGATTAATGTTTTAGTTTGGATTAATGTTTAAAGCTTAGCTCAATCAGTTAGATTACTTTGTGAATTTTCGTCGAATCAATTTGGGTCAACCACCGATTCAGCAACTTGGGCGTTGATTTAGTAATTTGAATTTTAGGGGTTCTCTTACTTGGTCAGAAGGTTTGATTTTTGGAAACTCGATTCTTTATTGGATCAAAAGCTTTTAAGCGAGGTAGGGAAACACGATTGAAGATCTGGGTCAACTTGGGTTTCCTCGGGATTGGTGCTTTAAGAGATCTTTATAAGCTTTTGGGAGTTTGATTAGGGCGAAATAGATTGAAGGGTTACTTTTGATTGGAATCGTTAGGAGAAGACCATGGATCGTGTGGTTGGTGGTAAGTACAAGCTGGGACGCAAACTTGGAAGTGGGTCATTTGGTGAACTTTTTCTAGGTATTCAAAGTTTCTTCTTTAATCTGGTTATGTCTTTGTTGGTAATTTCAAGTTTTCGCTTAGTAACTTCTTATCGTCTTCGTTTTGTTTTGGTTTCAAAGGTGTTAATGTGCAAACTGGAGAAGAAGTTGCCGTGAAACTTGTGAGTCACAACGTTGACTAGTGTTGTTTCCATGATTAAGATTTGTATATGACTTCTTCTTTTCATGTCTATGATTTCAGTTTAGATACCAAACTGCATAATACTCATTATTTATCATTAAAATTTTGTTCTTTTTTGTTGTTGTTGTTTTAGGAACCTGCCCGAGCTAGGCATCCTCAACTTCATTATGAGTCAAAGCTATATATGCTTCTTCAAGGAGGAAGTAATTTCTCTCTTGAGTGTTGATTCATAAGTTTTAAACTTTTCGATTGTCTTTGTGTTAAGTAATCATCTTTACATTTGTTTTTATTTGAAGCTGGTATTCCGCACCTAAAATGGTACGGGGTGGAGGGTGAATACAACTGCATGGTCATTGACCTTCTGGGACCTAGTATGGAAGATTTATTCAATTATTGTAGTCGGAGGTTCAATCTTAAGACAGTTCTAATGCTTGCAGATCAGATGGTATCAATTATTATTTTTCGTTTGGCTGGTATATTGGAGCTATTACAATGCTTTACTTGTTCGTATGTTGATTTCTTCAGATAAATCGAGTCGAATATATGCATGTCCGGGGATTTCTTCATCGTGATATTAAGCCAGATAACTTTTTGATGGGTCTTGGACGCAAAGCAAACCAGGTGAGTAGAGTTATGGTGTGCAATGATAACACTTGTTTTTCGGAATATTCTATTATTCCTGCGCTGAAAATATGTTAGCAACAATTCTCTTCTTATTTAGGTGTACATCATTGACTACGGACTTGCGAAAAAGTACAGAGATCTTCAAACTCATAAGCACATTCCTTATAGGTAAATATTATGCTTCCTCTCGCTGAAAGAGGAGCTTGTTCCAATTAAATTTTGAAATGTTAAAGGAACATTGGTAATATACCTTTTACATTGCTAATCAAGAGTTACTTCTTAGGGAAAACAAGAATCTTACTGGAACAGCTCGATATGCAAGTGTTAACACTCATCTTGGAATTGGCGAGTGTTTTCTTTTGCTTTTTCTCTTTCTTTTCCTGTCGTATCTGTGTGCACTTAACATTCTATACTTCCAATAAATTGTCAACTTCTAAACTGTGATCTATTTATGCAGAGCAAAGTAGGAGGGACGATCTGGAATCTCTTGGCTATGTGCTAATGTATTTTCTTCGAGGAAGGTATATATACATTTTTACTTTTACCCAGTATTTTTCAATGTGCCTCCATTTGACACTAAATTGCTCATGCTAGTCTGCCTTGGCAAGGCCTTCGCGCTGGTACCAAAAAGCAGAAGTATGACAAGATCAGCGAAAAGAAAAGGCTTACACCCGTAGAGGTAATGGTTCATAATCGTTACCACTGTATTGAGAAACCTGTCTTAAAGGTTGCATATTCCATACAATCTACATGTCCATTCCCAGGTTCTCTGCAAATCCTTTCCACCTGAGTTCACGTCGTACTTTCTCTATGTACGATCGTTGCGGTTTGAAGACAAACCAGACTATCCATACCTAAAGAAGCTTTTCAGGGATCTCTTCATCCGAGAAGGTTAGAAAAAGTCTTGATTTCCCTTACTTTAAATGTAGCTTGTGCTTGAAGATTTCTTACATATAAAAAAAACGAGCATATGTAATATATTTGCAGGTTGTCAGTTTGACTATGTATTTGATTGGACTATCTTGAAGTATCCACAGTTCGGTTCCAGCTCCAGTTCCAAACCAAGAGTAAGTAACATCTATATTTGACGTTTCCCATCGTTTCATATCATCAAATGCTCATGATTGTCTCTGTGTTCCAACAACAGTCAAGCCTTAGACCAGCTCTGAATCCCCCAGTGCCATCTGCCGAGAGACCAGAAAAACCTTCAGGTAAGCCTTTTAACTTTATTACCCGCATCAACACTTGTACCAGCTTCCTGGTAATTTTTTCGTTTTTTTTTTGCTTCTCCACTTCTTTGCCCCTCATCAAACGTTTTTCCTATTTGGTTATTTGCAATGCTAAAATCTTGGCGCTTGTGGCTGCCTATGAGCTTATTAGTCAGATGACTTTCTTTTGACTGGTTTGGTCAAAATAGTGTAGACGAGTTTTTCTTGTCTCAATGGTATGGTAAAAAGTACCCATTTGCAACCAATGATTATTGTATCTCCAATTTCATAGTGTAGAACAGTTTTTCTCTATTTCCAGATCTATCCTGGTTTTATAGTTATTGATCATATACTTGATTCAGTTCCATTCTCGATTGAATACTGTTGTTACAGAACCAATTATATGGTTGAATACATTGTTTGCTTCAGCACATTCTCTCCTCATAGTTTGGTGCTTGAAGAAATTCAAACCTACAAACCAAACGTGTCTAATTTTATATCTGATTACAGATGGACAAGACAGCCGTGAAAGATTCTCGGGAGCTTTAGAGGCATATGCTAGAAGAAACGGCTCAGGAAGTGGCGCGGTTCAAGCTGATCGGTCTAGACCAAGAACCTCAGAGAATGTATTATTATCATCAAAAGATACGATACCAGTGAGTCATCTAAAAGCAACAAAATCTTCTTAAAAATCCTCTTTGACAAAAAAATGTATTTGATTGAAACCAGCAAAACTACGAGAGAGTGGAAAGACCAATCTCTTCAACAAGACATGCAAGTTCGTCAAGGAAAGCCATTGTATCGAGCGTTAGAGCAACTTCTTCAGCTGACTTCACAGAGAGCCGCTCCAGCAGAGTTGTCCCAAACAATGGCCGTTCCTCAACCACTCAAAGGACTCAGCTTGTTCCTGACCCGACCGCTAGACCATCGTCGTCTTCTTTCGCCCGAGCTGGTCCATCAAGGACTGCTCGAGACATTACGCTCCAGAACTTTGAGCTACTCACCATAGGGAATGGGAAGAGGAAGTGAGGCTTTACGATGAAAACTGACATTTTTTATGGTTACTTTGTTTTTATTTCGCCACCTCATGGACTTCCTAATTTTTAGGAACAAAACTGTTTTATTCAAACAATAGTAATTTGATTAAAAGTTGTATGTGATAAATATATGTTTTTAAGTTCTAACTCTCTAAGCTCTGCCCATATATTCCTTTTTAGGGAATATTTATACTTTCTCAATTTTTACTCAGTTATAGAACTTGCAAAAATTGATTCAGAGTAAGATAAACGGGTCGTCATGGTGCAAGCTTAATGATTTGCAAATGCTGCGGTAGGTGATTGCTGGGAGTGCCTCAATTTTTATTTTGATGGGTCCTTCAAAGTTTTGTATTCCTCTTTCATCAACTAAGTGAGGTGAACTTCAACGCGTTTTGTTTTTTCGTAACTTTATACTCTTAATCGGTGTAGACTGTAGAGATACAAGTTGTTCTTCAATAGTTTTTTTTTTTTTTTTTTGAATAAAATGTTAAATTTGATTCAAAGAAAAATATACTTTTTTACAGCATTTGCCACTTTTTTATGACTTTTATAGGAAACATAAATTTGAACCAGATCCTAAAAATTTACTGCTCCAATCCAAACTTGATACGCCATCGCAAGTTTCTTGGTATGTAGAGGGTTCAGTGACATTATCCGGTTTTTGATCATCCGGTCAATGTTCCTGAGAAGAACCTCTGATGGTGTCGGATTTTCACCATGCCTTCTTGCATTCCTTTCTCTCCATATTGCATAAATGGTAGCCTGGAAGACGTAACGGATGAGAAAGAGGATAACTCGATCACACTTTGACTGAGATAGGAACTGCACTATCTCGTTCCAGGTCGTTGTGTAGTGGCTTCCCCACAGGTTACGTGACAGAGTTCCCCAAACTTCCGCAGAGTAAGTGCAGGAGAAGAAAAGGTGGTCACGTGTTTCCAGTTGTTGTTGACATAGAACACAGCTGCCATCAGTAGACACGTTCCAAAGAGCCATGTGAGCTCCTGTGGTTAATCGATCAAGCAGCGCTAGCCAAGTACAGAACTGAAACTTTGGGGTTGCGTTGCTGAACCAGAGGCAATTGTGCCAGGAAACTTCTGCCTTTTTTAGTCGAATATTGTTCCACGTGTCTTTTGTATTGAAAGACGGCTTGTAAGTATCTTGTTTTCCCTTCCATAGAACCACGTCCTCTTCCTCACTGCGGTTTAGTAACATGAGATATTGCTCGATTCTGATCAGAATCTCAGTGCGATGTTGTCGTCTCCTCCGCTTTGTCCAAGCAGTGAGAATCGTTTCCTGCTTTGCTATCCCCATATCAATCTGACCTCGAGGTCCAAGCACTTCCATGAGGCAACCCATTGGAGACCAGTGATCGAACCAAAAAGATGTAGATGCGCCATTCCTTATCTCCACCTTATATAACTGTCTTGCAACGTCTCTGAATTTTAATATTTTCCGCCACATCCACGATCCCCTCTTATCGTCTTCTTTGACAGACCAAATTGACTCTGTTTTAAGAAGATTACTCTTGACCCATCTCACCCAGAGAGATGTATGACTGGTTAGCAATCGCCAGAAGAGCTTGAGACATGTGACTTTGTTAATTTCCTTTAAAGATCGGAGTCCCAATCCTCCTTCAGCTTTTGGTCGACACACCTCTACCCAAGAAACTTTTGATTTACGCGGGTTTAGGACACTGCCAGACCATAAGAATGCAGAGCAGATCTTATCGATTTCTGTAATGCAGGCCTGAGGTAACCGGAAAGCAGATAACCAGAAACTTGTTATACTCCAGAGAACTGAGCTAATGAGCTCGAGCCTACCAGCGAAAGATAGAAATCTGTTTGTCCAGGAGCCTATTCGATTCCGTATGGTTTCAATGAGGGGCTGGTAATCTTGAGAAGTCATACACTTTGTGACCAAGGGGAGACCCAGATAACGTACCGGAAGCTCACCCTCTTGAAACCGAAACCTAGTTCTGATATCTAGTTTAACCTCTTCGGTTACTCCTGCCAGAAACATTGTAGATTTTTCCATACTTATTCTGAGACCAGAGATCCTGGCAAAATGGTCAAATACATCAACAATACCTTCAACCGAGCGTGCTTTACCATCTGAGAGAACCATCAGATCATCCGCGAAAGACAAGTGCGTTAGTTCCAGACTTTTACACCGTGGATGATATCCAACTCGTTTAGTGCTTGCTGCCTTATCTAAGAGTTTCGAGAGTACGTCCATCACAATAACAAACAGATATGGAGACAATGAGCAGCCTTGGCGTAGGCCCCGGTTACTTTGAAAATAACCAGAGAGTTCACCATTAATCTGAACTGAGAAAGAGGCAGACGAGATGCACAAAGAGATCCAATGGATAAACTGCTGCGGGAAGTTCATTGCAGCAAGAACATTAAGTAGGAAACTCCACTGGACTGAGTCAAATGCCTTTGAGATATCGATCTTAATGGCGCATCTGGAGGAAATTCTCTCCTTGTGATAGTCTTTGACGATCTCAGTGGCCAGTAAAATATTTTCTATGAGGAGCCTCTCAGAGACAAAGGCGGACTGATTCGCAGAAACAAACTGAGGGAGAATCACTTTCAGCCTATTTGCAATTATCTTGGAGATCACTTTGTAGATTACATTACAACATGATATCGGTCGATAATCTTTCATCTCGACCGCTTCAGTTTTCTTAGGAATCAAGGCTAAGATCGTCGAGTTTATTCCTTTAGGGAGGAATCCCTTGACAAAGAAAGCTTGCACTGCGATGATAAACTCAGAACCGATAATTTCCCATGAAGACTTATAGAACTCAGTGTTAAATCCATCCGGCCCTGGTGATTTGTTGTTTGGCATAGCAAAGAGAACCCCTTTGATTTCTTCTGCTGTAACAATCCGAAGCAGCTGTTGTGTATCAGTTGCAGTGCACCGAAAGGGAAGTAGCTCTTTTAGCTGTTCCACTTCCATACCTTCAAAATCCTCTGGAATATGCTGCAAGAATTCGCGAAAGAAACCTTCTGCTTCAAGCTTGATTTCTGTTTCATCAGAGGTCAAGGTACCATCTCTACATCTTACTTCGTTAATACAATTTATAGCTTGACGAGTAGATATTGCACGATGATAAGTCTTGTTGTTCTGATCACCAACTTTCAACCAGTGCAGCTTAGACTTTTGCTTTAAAAAATTTCCTTCTAACCGAGCAACAAACTCCCATCGTTGAAGTGCCGCATTCTCCAACTCAAGGTGTTGTTGCGAAGGTTGATGGAGTGCTAATGTCTGTTTATCACAGAGATCAGCATAGGCTTCTTTAGACTTCTTAACCAGATTTCCCATCTTATCTTTCGCCAAGTTCCTGATAGACGGCTTCAGGCCCTTAAGCTTTTTCGAAAATCGAAAAAGTGAAGAAGTTGATAGGAAAATCGGCTCAGTATCTTTCCAATAGTTCTCCAACATTGGTTTGTACTCATCAAGCTCAATAACCGCATTCACAAACTTAAATGGCTTGCGCCTAGTTTGTCTCTCTGGCTCATTTAAATGAATACGACATCTTAAGTGATCCGAGCAGCCGCCAGCCTCGAAAACACAATATGCTTGGGGGTGAGACTGATTCCAAACGTCGTTGACCAGCACCCGATCAAGCTTTTTTGAGATGAGATCATTGCCTCTTTTGTTGCTCCAAGTAAACAAAGGGCCATGATAAGACATATCCACCAGAGAACACTGATTTACCGTGTCCCGAAATCTTCTCATACCTTCGGTGACCATGGGCGAACTTTCAAATTTCGAATGTTCTTCCATGTCCAAAGTCTCATTAAAATCACCAAAAACTATCCAGGATTTAGAACCTACAATAGGAGAATTGTGGTGATCACACAAGTCCCTCCAAAGTTCCTTTCTCTCTTCTGCCAGATTTGAAGCATATATAAAAGAGCAAAAAATTTCTTCTTCCATCTCCTCTAACTTCACTGAGCAAGTAATGACTTGACTACTTTTAAAAAAGGGAGTGAGTCTTACATTACTCTTCCATATCACCCACATACGCCCTAGGCGACTATATTCATAGTTCGTTAGAACCGACCAGCCATTAAAAATACTCTCAGACAATCTCTTCACCTTACTTTCCTTTACCTTTGTTTCAATCAAACAACCAAAACCAAAATTTCCTTCCTCAATCCACTTCTTTATCACGGAATGTTTAACAGATTTGTTTAAGCCACGAACATTCCAGAAGAAGCCCGACATATTAATGTTTTTTGGAAGGACGTTTCCTGCTCGTACCACTGGGTTTTTGATCCCGAGTGGCTGTAGCAGCTAAGAATGAGCTTGCTCGATGTCCTGCTCTTACTATTCGGTTTGTTTTTTTCTTCGCCGCCTTCCCCTTTTGGATGTCAAGTTCCAGAGCACTGTCCTCTTTACTAAGAATTTCTCCTTCCTCTACTTCCTCCATCTCTGGAGATGTGCTACCCTGATCATCAATTTGTGTTTCTTCCATCTCCTTACTCTCATGCTTATCATCTTCAGCTAAAATTTGGAAACGAGATGGAGAAATGATTGTCTGATGCAGCGTTCTTTCACTTGGTCTTCCAACTTTCCCCGGAGACACTTGGTTCCATGAGGTATCCTCTGCAGTAGATAAACTCACTGCAGTATCATTTTCTGTTGAGCCATTCCTCAACTGATCCGAGACAGCCTCTGTTTCTTTTGATTCTTGCCCTTTCTCAACTTCTGTGTTTTGCACATTTGCAGCTTCCTTATCCTCCGATGTGCTTACCCCAACGTTGATCACTTTTGGTGCCGTGTCCTCAGCATTTTGTGAACTTTCCACCCTCTGATCTCCTTCTCTTATCGATTCTGTTCCTCTTTTCTTGGTACACTCCTTCCCCGGGTGGCCCCACTTGGAACAGAAACAACATCGTGTAGGTAACCATGGATAAGAGAATTCCACAGCGGCATTGATTCCCTTCTTTGACTTGAAATGATACTGCTTTGGTAATTCTTTTGTCATATCTGCATTGACAAAGACCTTAGCCTCCTCAAAGTTTGAACAGAGTTATGTTTCTGGATGAAGACGTACTGGTTTCCCAACTGAACTAGCGATGAAACCAAGTCCCTTCCAGGAGTACATTCTGTGAGGAACATTTTTGAGTGTTACCCACATTGGAAGAA